TGCTCATTCCTGCCCAAGACAATCAGGGACTGGAACCATCTTTCAAAAGGAACAGTTGAGGCGACAACACTAGACACATTTGTGTCTATTGCCTCAAGCCTTCAAACCCCTAGTGCATAATTTCCTCATCACCACCAGTAACAGAAACATTGCAAATCCCATCTACATGCATAGGAGCCAAAATGATCAATAAATTGATCGTGGGCCCTTAAGATATAGAAGAAGAAGAAGAAAATGGACCCTGTTAATTATGCATCTTATTATTACTCATGGAAGTATTTAGAAAGCAAACTCCCCCCCCCCCCCTTTGAGTGTATATTCAATATCCCTAAACATTACAAATTCCACATGTCATTTAAACACAAAAAGCATCTTTTAGAATCAACATTTAATTAATACAAATTTAAACCTTCAGTTTGAAAGCATAAAAAAAATTCTTTGAAATATATCTGAAAACTTGATCATTTTTGTTTAAATTGTGTTTTTTTAAATTTTTTTAAAGGGCTTAAATAATTCAATGTTATGTTAATAAACTGAGAACTGAATGTTTGAGACTCTTCACTAAATATTTACATATCAAGTCAGGTAGAACATAATTTGTAAAAGCAAAGACACATAAAATTTAAAATAATAAACAACAAACCATTGTTTTCAATAACTTTAGTCTTGTATTCAGCTTTATCTGATGGTACTCCATACACTTCAACTTTGATAAATGGATCAATGATTTCTCCCTTTGTGCTATCCTTGGGCTTAGGAATCTGAAACCCACTGATGATCTGGAACATGAAATTGTCATAATTTTTTTTTTAAATTCTCAATATCAAAACCAGGGAATTTTAAAATTTAAATATTGGCCATTTAAAATCGTTTTGCTAAGGGTGTTCATTAATAAACAATTATTATCTTAATGCTAATTTGGATTAATTATATTCCTTTAAACTGTGTCAATTATTTATGCCTAGACATCAGATGTTCTACATCTTTTGATAAATAAAAAAAAATAATTGTAATTTTAGAATGTACTGATGAATAATGAAAAAACACAGAAAATGTCCAAAAGCCAGTACTGTCCAGGTAAAGACATTACAAATATTCACCTAACATGAGCTTCAGGGAGTATGAGACAAAAAGTTACAAATTTACCTATAGAATTAAAAAAAGTGATGGCACCAGAAACTACTCAATAATTTCAATTGCACATGTCCCAAGTGTATTAATCCTAACTAGCACATTGGACAAAGGATGGGAGTGTGTTTGTAAGTAAGTACATCAATTTTATTTTGAATGTATGTATTATTTCACCTCTGCTGCTTGTGGCTGTATAACCATGGTTTAAAGCTAAGGGTTTAAATTTAAATCTTTTAAAAAATAATTTATAATTGTTTTTCATCTCCCATTATATTTAGTTTGATTACTATGGCCATTGTATTTATATGAAAAGAGCATACAATTAAATCTTATTGTAAAAAAAAAATAAAAAAATTTAAAAGATACAGTTCAATAAAATATTATTCTTAACAATAAAACATCTCACGTATTTTAACAAATAATTTAAGTACAGTTATTGCCCTTAAATGTAGCTGCATTTTATAATTATAATGAATGCTTAGGTAACAAAACAAAAAAAGCTTACAGATA